AATAATTGTCAACTAATTGAGTAATTAATTTATTGTTAAGTAATTAACTTATTGTTTAGGTGGCAGCAGATCCTGTTATGAATGCTAAAGCTAGTTGGCATGGCCAACGATGACAGTGGATAAACGGTTTGTCTCCAATTGTGAGTTGCTTCTCCACCATTAGCACATTTAGCAGTGAGTACATGAGTTTAGTTGACAGCACCAAGACCCTCAAGTCATTTTTCATTTTATAACATGAAAAATGACTCAAAAAGAGGTCATTTGCTTAAAGAAAAACATAGTCAGAGCAGGGAGTGAGGCAAAACTGTACAGAAAACAAACATTTTATATTTTAGATATTTTAGATAAAAAAAAAGACTTTGTCTGTAAATATGTTCTATCCTGAACTCCTCAGATGGCAGTTTTAGCTTCAAATTCAAAAATGATCTTAATTATCACCTACTGCACTTCGATTAACTGATCAATTATTAATCAGTTAGTCCAAAAGTCACCAGATCATCCCTGCACTGTACTGATAATAAGAAAAAAGGAATTGTTATTGTACTTTAGGCAATAAAATGTTCATTTTCTTATTCAGAAAAGAACTGAGTTGTTTATTTAATTTTTAAATGTATTTCTAATATTGTATAAAATAAGCTTACGTGGTAAAGTAAAAAATCTGCAAAATGTGTCAAAGCAAAATTCCAATTAATTGTCAATGTCAGAATAATCAATAGTTGCACCAGAGCAGACCGTGGGTCTCGGCCCGGTTGTGTTCACAGTTCACACCTGCATGTGTGAGGTGTGAACGCAGCTGCAGCCACAGCTTTCCTGCTGACAGACCCCTGACTTTCTGAGTAGGTGGTTACATTTATAAATGAAGGAAAAACATGCATCATCTTCACATTATGTTCTACTTTGGGGTAAGCCAATAAAATCAAGACAAGTGCTTCTAGCAGAGTAAAATGTGAAAAGGTTAAGCATTGTATTAAATATTATATTTAGCTATGAGGATGCTGTCCCCATCAAATGAAAAAAACATTTTCTGACTCTAATATTAGTTTTCATATCTTAATAACATAAAACTGCACGTAGGTTTTATAACATGAAAAAACTAAAATAAAAGATATTTAATTCTCTTATCGTCAGTTGCGATAAAGTCTGTATTTCTACCATGGAATAATCCAGGCTGTTGCTCCCGGCCAGAGGAGAGGATCTCTGATTGAGTGCTTACTGAAAGCTGACCACCAGATTGTGACATGAAGTATCTCGAGGGACGTCATGAGTCACACACATGCTGCTGATAGAACCATCAGAAAGGTCAAGCAAGAGATTTTTAAAGAGCATTTTGGGAGAATTTTCTAGTTGTGGAGTTGGCAGTTTTTGAGCGATAAAACAAAAATTATATCCATTGTGATAGATCAGTATTATTAGAAAATATGTCTGATAAAAATTTGAGAATTCCATTGAACTCTGATCCAGAATAGCAGCTCAACCAGACGTACTCGGACATACTTCTCTCTTCAGAGGTCAGAACGTCGTCATGGATGGAGAACTCAAAGAAGACAGTTGTGTGGCAGTTCTTAAGAAACAGGGCTAGGCCCCAACTAGCTTATCAAACTTGCAAGCGTCCATTAGGATTGTGGGAAATGAAGGAATTTGTCACAAATTCCTTCACGGTTGACTATGAAATGTCAACCGACAACACAGCAGGGCTGGACGCCCGAGTATGTGGGGCCTTTACTCAACAGGCTGTTTCTAGGTAACCAAAGTGTGAGTGAGATAACTATTTCCACCAACCTTCGTTACACTTAGAAAAGTTTGACCACATTCTACTTTAAAACAAAGTATGGGAATAAAAGACTTTTCTCTGCCTACATCCCCCAGAATGCCATGTGGTTTTTTATTGGAGTTGAGTGATATTATTGAATATTCTAATGGACATATTATCAATTGACATTGTCTGAAGCTTAACTTTGTGTTGGAGCCTGATTTGATTCAAATGTGCTTTCTCACCCAGGTAGCTGTCGTCGTAGCTCCCCTGGACCTGCTGGGTCTGAATCTGTCCAGTGACTGACAGCAGGAAGTAGGAAGGGTAGTAGGCCTTAACGATCTCCTCTGTAGAGGCCGAAATCAGCTGACCTAAAAAAGGTTCAATGACATTTGACTTTTTAGGTCGAAATCCATTTTCTGAAGGGTTTTCATGTTGCTTCACGTTCATCTCAGCTCACCTTGCCAGTAAAAGCTGCCAGGTCCTCCAAGAACAACCCTTCCATCCTGTAACACACACACACACACACACGCACACATACACACACAACAGTAGCAGAGCAGTTCCTCCTGAAGTCCAAACAAAGTCTGCAAGAGTATACTGTGCCTCGTAAAAACTTAATACACCTTCAAGTTTTCCACATTATTTTTATTAATAAAGTAAGAAGCTTCAGTGTATTTTATTGGCTTCATAAGCAACCAGTCGTTCACTGGAGCATACAGACTAAAAATAACATCTCAAAGCTAAACATGTAGCAGCTAACGCTAATGTCAACAGCATTTCTAAAGAAGTCCCATGAATGATCAGAAATTCCTGAAACTCTGGAAAGATGAATGGATAGAATAACACTTTACTCCAACCTGATGAAAATCTTTTATGTTTCTTCCACTTTAGTATTATATACTGCTTTCTGCTTGTTTACCACAATAAATCCCAATAAAATGATTTAAACCCTTTGAAAGGCACTCTACGTATATCACATATCATTTTCAAACAGAGCAGAAACACGATTAAAACAATAAGTGAACAGCTGAGCATATAATTGCTGTACCTTGGTAAAGTCAGCACTGAATCCTCCCTGACAGTAACCCTGTCCAGCAGGGCCGTGTCTTTCTGCAGCGAGAAACACCAAAACATGGCCACAGCTGTTACTTAGTGTTGCAATGAAACAGCTAAGAGTGGGTGAGGTTGTATAGAAACCTGCCTGTTCTGCAAGGGGCGAACTCCACAAAGGTTTTGAAAGCGTCAACAGAGAGGTAGCAGGTTCCTGTGATGTCAGAGAACGGCGTGTCATGTTCCGTCCTCCAGTAATACCTGGGAGCACAGGCCTGGACACAAGAGCAACACAGGGTTAATTATGAGAATAAAACAGAAACGTGAAAAAATAACAAATCTGGCATTGTTAACAAGAAGAGAATGTCCAGAAATCCCAAATTATCCAAATAAAAATTTTGAAATAAGCCTACAAGAGATAAAAAGCTGCTGAATTTGTTACTTTATTTCACCAAAAAACCCAAACTGGAACTAAACTAAGGAGGAAAACAAATTTTGTGGTTTATGAATAATAATTTATTGGATTAAAATTTGTTTGATCCAATGAAATAATTTCCACTTCAACCCTCTGTCAGTATTGGAGTATAGATTAAATATTATACAAGTGTTACTTCTCTAGTCTTACCAAGATGCTGTTACCATGGGAACGCACAATAGCTCCAAACCACTGATGGGACTTGAACTCAACTTGAGTGTTCACACCATTTATATAAAAATGGCGGTCACCTGCAGAAACACAGAGGAGAGAGAAGTACATTCAGAAATTTAGAGTTTCATTCAGGCAGCAGCCAGAGCCTCCTTCATCTGGACCCCTGGTAAAGACGACCACTGAAACCTTACACCTGTCTTTCACTGCAGCAGCACAGAACAGCTGAGTCTGACGAGCCGCTCACATCAGACCTTGAAAACTAATTAAAATAACTTTGTTCTGGTAGATAGATAGATAGATAGATAGATAGATAGATAGATAGATAGATAGATAGATAGATAGATAGAAAGAACACACCTCTTAGTTCAGCCCTAATACTCACCAGGGTTGTTAGTAAGTCAGTCCACATCTGTAGATGGAGGCTGCTAGTAACCATGTCATCACTGTGTTGTGCATGTGTTACTGTTTTCTTTTTTCTTTTTTACATGGATGTATTATGGCTTTGTTCCAGGGCTCTGCAGCTTTAATCTGCTTTCTATGACATCAAACCTCTCACAGAGATCATGCTGTTCCTGCAGTCCAAATGGCTGTTCTTCATAGTCAGGTTCTGTTTTTAGATGAGCCCTGGCACTAAGACAGGAATAATAACTTCAGGGAGAGTTGAAGTAAGAAAGTCTGTGTTGATCTCTGGCAACCATTTGGAATTAAGCAACTTGATTAAATATCCGATCTCCACAAAATGTTGCTTTAAAAAAAATAACATTCTGCTGTAGGGTTGGGCAATCTGGACATCTATCACCATATTTCATGATACTATTGTGATAATGATGATAAGAACAACTTATTACTTCTATTTTTAGGGAACTGTATGACTGTGACTCCATCACAGCAATCATAAGTAGTGCTCTCGAAAAACATTCCTATTTGTGAAACGCTTCTTTTAGAACACCGGTCATAAAAAAGAAGGGTGCTTGTGCACTTTGAATGCAGATGCTTGACATTTTGCTCTACACCTAGCATTTCACGAGTCTGGTTTCCATTCAAAGTCTATGTGGAGGTGCTTGGAGGGCATGTCAGACACGTCAAGATCACTCTAGCTGTTGTTTTCTGTTGCCAATCTATTTGTTGTACGGGTCAAACGCTTTAAATCACGCCTTGTTAGATGCTTCTCAACGGGGCCTCGATGCATCTCCACATGGACTTTGAATGGAAACCAGATGCACCTGATGCACAAAATGCATTTGGTGTAATCAAAAATCTTACCATGATAAGGTAGGTATATCAGCACCTTATTAATCCATGTGGGATTTTCCCTCAGGGAAATTGTAAAATTTATCACAATAAATGATAAATGATAAACGATAAACGATACAATAAACGTCCACCCCTGTTCTGTTGAAACAAGTTGCATCAGAAAGTTTTCATGTGTTAAACTTAGTGAGCATTGGAAAAGATTGTGAAGCTGTAAGATTAACGGCAGAAAGAACGCTGACCCTCCAGATGTAAAAAAAAAAAAAAAACAGAAATCTCCTCAGCGTTGTATTTCCCTCAGACTGCCTGTGTTTGTAAACATTTTTTTGGGTGTGTATTTATACATGCTGGGTTTGCACTTGCGCTGCGTAAACTCCATGCTTACAATAAGCTACACCCTGTGATTCTCAAACAGCGGTCCATATTGCTTCCTGCATTGCTGATGCAGCCAATTATTTTCCCAGCAGGGTCGGACGTGGCCCACGTCCTCTGGGGTCCTTGGCCCATTATGAGTTTGAGCTCATTTAACATGTGGCCCAGCAGAATAAAACAAAACTAAAAAAAAAAACTGCATTCATAACCCTTTCACCCTGGCTGGGGTTGGGTAAGAGATTTAAGAATCATTAAAACGCAAAAAAAAACAAAAAAAAACATAAAGAGCTGGTTTGAACCTGCAGGTGAAGGGGGCAGCAGCTGGACTTTCTGACTGCTGGGTCAAGCACAGGGTGGTTAACTCAGGACGGTTCTGCCACTTTCATAGCTAAACAGACAGAGATGATCATCCACTAGTGCAGCTGACTTCACTAGAGGGGAAAGTGACATCGTAACATCCTGGATGGCAGTATGTGTTCTGAAGAAACAAACTGCTAGAGCTTAACCTTACATGTAATCGTACATTTTACTTGTATTACTTTTAATGAATATTTCAAGACATAAATTATGACTAACAGCTAAAGCACAGTTTTCCAAAAGCGTATTGCTGTCTCAGAGGAACAGGCTGTGAACATTTCCCCAACAACCTCAGCAAACATGTTCTGTTTACTGGTTAGCTCACATAGCTAGTTAGTATGACTGTCACTTTAGCCTTAGTGCTGTCGCTAAGCTGTAGTTGGGAATAAACTTAAATTCCTGCTCAACCAATAGCCTTATTAATGTTTACTGACTTAATATATTCATAATACTGTCATGATCCGTGGTTTTCTGTGTGTTTTTGAGTTTTTCAATGTGTTCCTGTTTCCCTGTGAGTCTCTGTCCTGTCCTCCCCGTTGATTGCTCCCCAGGTGTGTCTCATTCCCTTAATTACCCCGTGTGTATTTATACCCACCTGTTGTCTGTGTTCCTCGTCGGGTCCTTGTCAATTGTCAAACGTTGCAGTCTGCGTCTGTCTGTCCGTCTTCCCAGTTGTACTGGTTAAGTCCTGTGTCGACGTCAGTTCCAGTTGATTTAGTCTTCGTTGTCAGTTGCTACCGGTGCTTAGCTGCGTGCTAGTTGTTCCTGCCGTGCTGCCTGATTTGGACTATGTGAACTACATTCATCATTAAATTCATCTTCACCATAACCTGGGTTCTCTGCGTCATCTCCTCACCACTTCAACCCCACCTTATGACAAATACTACAAATGTTAATTAGTAATTCTAATCTAAATGTTGGATTTTTTTTTTAAACAAAGAATAGCTCTGAAAACATATATTTACAAACTTTTCTGCTTTAGAAAATGTGTATAAATGTACTATGGAATAAATATAGTCTAATTAGAATCTGACTTTTTTTTTTTACACTGAATTTATAACCCTGAAATTTTACCTTGTCTATTATGTGTATGAAGTTTTTATTTTACCTTAAAGATTTGTGTCTCCTAATAGTTAACTGTGACCCAATGCAATGGTGTCACATGATTAAAGGAGTGTAATCTGATTGGGTAAAAAGCTGTTTGGCTCCATCTATTGCTGACCGTTCTGGCTGGGTCACCAGAAGGTCATTACGTTTGCAGCAAATTTAAAAGAAAATCATATTCATAAAAGTTGAAAGTCAGATGAAGGACTGACTTTCAACTTTAATTCAGTGGGTTGAGTAAAAATATGAGGAACTAAGGCACATTTCAAAGCAATTTCTTCAATTTAGCAGCTCAAAAGTAATTGGACAAATTAAATAACTAAAAATAAAGTGTTCATTTCTAACACCTGGTTGAAAATAACTGGTTGGCAATAAAGTCTTGAAGCCATGGACATCACCAGATGCTGCACTTCTTCCTTTTGAATGTTGCGTTCTACGTTCTTTCTGTCGCACCACAACACATGCAGTCTGATGCCAACTCAAGATGTTTAACATTTGCTTTCCTACAAACATTTATCTGCAGAGAAGAAGTAATTGACCCTTAGAGTCTGAATAAAACCGTGGTACCTTGCTGGTCAAAGTTGATAACACTGCAGTTGTTCTGGCTCCAGGAACAGCGGTACACAGCTCCTCCCTCGGTGACGTTTGGCTGGCTGGTGTTGGCTTTTGGAGCTCCAATAAGGACACTGATACTGGACAGCAGAAAAACAAAGAGTTTAACAAGCTGCTGGAAAAAAACACAAAAGTGCACGAACATTAAGGCTGCACGATAGATAAATCATGAATATATTGTTATTGAAGATCACTGAATTCAATATGCATATCACTAGGAACTGCCTGGACTGCAATAAAAGTTAGCTTGAATTACTGTGTGGCTGTAATATATTTGGTGACCCTTGTTGTTAGAAGCAGCATTAAGAAGATTTAGTCAAGATTTGGTCAAATCAGTGAGCAAAGTTGTTTTATTGCCAAAACAGCAGAAGTGATCCAAAACTTCATTATGATTAAAGTTTTTGTATTTTTATTTTACAGTGCCTAGAGGAATGTCTTTTATGTAAACAGTTACATGAATTCATAATTCAGCCAAGCTAGTGCTCATCATCAACCAGCCAATCAGAGACATCAGAGTTTTATTCAACTGTTGGAGCAACAAGCCCCGCCTACTGTGGAGCGGCATTTCAGGAAAATTATATTTTGTAATTTTATAGAAGAGCTATGGATTCAACACATTGGAAAAACTAAAAACAAGCCATCATCCTCCTTGTACTTCCTGTCATCTCCTATGTGGTTTTCATCAGTAGTAACATTCAGTTGTTGATCATGTGACTCATGTAATGCAAAAAAAAACACCTCATCCTCAAGTACAAAAAGTTTTTTATCGAAAATCTATTTTTTTTTTCAAAATTGCCATGTTTCTACTAGACAAATGTGTTTTTGTAATTTCACTTTCACTTTATAGTTAATGGAAACGCAGCAACATAAAGTTAGCACTTGATAGACGTCAGGTTTGGGGTTTGTGTAAGTCAATGCTGTCGCAGGATGTGATTGGCTGGATCGTCTGACAATCCAGTGGATTGTTGGAACCAGTGGGGCCATACCCATCAGTCCCAATATTAGAGCACTGTGACAGCTGTATAAGCTGTATTTTGGGTAATTGGGCAAAAAATTACCTAGCAGTCAACAATGATTCCATGGATTTACTCGTGATCCCATCATTTATGTCCACTTTGGCCACAGTAGGCATGTCCAGAACCATAACTGGCCTGGGTGAGTACAAAGGTTCATCCAAATCTGGCCTATGTTGGGGTGCTTAACCATTACCTTTAAGTCATTTAAATTTACACTTACAGTACTGAGAAGTACAGAAAGGTGGCTTCAAATACAAACTACAACTAATGACATCAAGGTTTTGATTTTAGGTGCTTGTTAGTTTTTTTACAACTACTTTATGAGGTTTTAAGAGAGCAGTTTCCAGCTGTCACATCTGTGTTGGGGTAAATCTCTGCTGCTATTGCTGGGTTGTTACAGCTGGAATTTTAGCATATAGTTAAAAATTACTGTGCCTTAAACTGACTGTAAGAAAGAACTGAGACAAACAACTCCTTTCAAAAGAACATAAAAACTAGAAGCTGATTGGATGGAACATCTATCAAACTCAGATGAGGCGTCTCACATCTACAGCTCTGATATGCAACATATGTCATGTTATGGCTGCCTATAAAAGTCAAGTCAGGGTTATTTATATTTCAGCAACAAGGCAGTTTAAAGTGCTTTGCACAGTAAAAACATAATACAGTAACCAATTATGAAACAAGCAATAAACTTTGCATTTGGTCAAATGTCATCATCAAAATCATCAAGCAAATATACGTCAGATATATTGATCAATGTTGCAGTTATTTGTTATGAATCAAAGCAACTCTGGACAGGTGGGTTTTTAGCCCTGATTTAAAGGAACTCAGTGTTTCAGCTGATTTTGTCATGAATTGTGTTAATTGAGGTAGTTCTGGTTCTGGCTCTGGATGCAGACCAGAACCAGAACCAGAACCAGAAGACCTGAGAGGTCTGAGGGTTGATACAGCAGCAGATCTTTAATGTATTAGGTCCTAATCCATTCAGTGATTTATAACCTAAAGTTTAAAGAGCTGTTCATCTGTCATAACCTGGTATCTTAAAACTAGCATAAGATTTAGCTGCCTAAAAGAAAAAAATCCCAAAACAGATCCTGTAATTACCCTGCAATCCCACTGTTAGTATTATAAATGGTTTGAAGACAACAAGGAGGAGGTTCTGGAGTCTGGTCTAGTCAAAGCACAGACCTCAAAGTAATAGAGAACTTGTGATAGGACTGACAAGTGATGTTCAGAGCTGATCTCATCGCAACCTGACAGACTGAACAGCTTAGCAGAAAGAATGGAGGAAAATGGCAGGTTCTATGTTACATATTTTATTTAATGTAAATCAGTTTTAACATTGACAGTAAAGGGGATTTTTTTATTACTTAGTCAAAAACGCCAAATTTTGTTGACAAAAATTGATGATTTGTGAAAGCAATAAAAAGAGTAAAATATCCAGAGCTGTTCATAATATGGACGCATTTAAGATGCTTTTACAGACCCAGATCTAGTCTTTGGCTTTTGAATTAAAAAGAGCTAGATATAATTTTTTTAACTAACAAATTATTTCAATAATATCTTCCATGATTTTTTTTCTTTTTAAATACCCTACCAGTTATTTTGTTCTTGCTGTGCACCAAATTGGTGCAATTAGTTTCCTGTGAAGCTCTAGAAAATACAGCTGAGATTGACACTGACCAAAAACAGGACCAGAGTTAGTCTATTCAATGCCAGAGAGAAAGGAAAAAATTCACTTTCCTTGTTATACCATGTGTGTAAACATGTATTCAGCGGTGAATAACGGATACTGAATTGTCAGCATTTAAACAAGCAACAATAGAAGTGTTTCTTATGGTTATAATGGATCATGTACTTGTCAGGCCAATGTACACATAAGATTTGCAGATGACAAACTTATTTCATGATGCAGTCATTACAGTTGAAACAGTCAGATTTCACCAGACGTAGCTGTAATGTGACATTTTGCAGTCCACTGGCCTGTCTGCCCCGAAGCTAAGCTACCTCAGTCTGTCAGCTCTGTGGTGTTTCTGGACGATCCACAGGGAACAGCTCTGATGCACAGAGGTTAATGTGGACCAAACTATTTTAGTGGCGGGAAACATCACCAAATCCACTTCCTGAAAGACGGTTAAAAAAAAAAAAATTGTTGGAATTATTGCTGGTTTACAGTTTTAAACACTGTAATACATATGTGGTCATGACAACATATTGTAAGAGTTGTTGAAGCTTTTTATTGGTTTTTCTTTCGCAACAATTTTTCAGTTAAAATTTTTCTTACTTTGAACTTTACCTCAACGTAGTAAGAGGAAACTTTGCTGTGTAATTAGCTGTGTTTCCATTGACCATATAATTGTGCAAAAAGGAATTACAAAATAAATTTGTTTAATGGAAAAACTGCAATTTCAAGAAAAGTCATGTTGTTCTATGAAAAGCTTTTCCACTAGAATCAGGTGGTTTTTCAGTCGTATAGAAATGTGTGTTTTTCACAAAAATGCAACGGAAGCACTTTTATCGCATCATAAGAATCACACGGTAGGCACTAGCATCCTTAGACAATGAGCATCTGGCTCCAAAAGAAGTCTAATTGCATTGTGAAGTTTACTTAGTCCAAAAGTGTTGAATCCATAACTCTTCTATAAAAAAAGCAAATACAATTTCCCCAAAGCACTGCTCCCAAGTAGGCGGGGTTTGTCACTCCATCACCTGAATAAAACACTGACGTCTCCTCTGATTGGCTGGTAGATAATGAGCGCTAGCACCATGACTGAACTGTTAATATATTTCATGCAACAGTTGACATCCGTCGCTGCCATAATTTTAAAAAGAATGTTAATGTTTCTACACTAGAAGAACAAAGTACTGCACACATTTGTAGTGGAAATGCAGCTACTCTTATGCTAACTGTATGCTAGTATTTAACTGCCTTTTGACAGTTAAAATGATGCATGAGATTGCAGATAAATGCTAGCTTTATGACCATCAGTGACAGTAGTAGAAATCCACCAGATTGTTTTCTCTGCCCATCCCCAGCATGTCTGGAGATCATAAGTGGAATATTTACATGGCAGGATAAGCTCATCTTGTAAAGTGCTCACTCTGTGGACACTGAGGCAGCCATGGCACAGGCCTCTGTTTCAAAACCCACTTGACTTAATCACCCTCACCTCCTGTGATCTCTGCACGTGTGGAGTCGTAACTTACACCGCTGAGTCAATGAAAAGCGCTAGCAGTGAAAATTTAACAGCCAACGATAGGCTCCTTGACAATAAGCTGTGTATTAGAGGAATGATGGATGCCTCTGTTGAGACCTGAGAGCAGGATTCCTTTCCTTTAGCTCGTGTTCACCAGGAACATCTGCTCATGGGGAAGTGAATCACAGGCAGGGTGAAGTCAAACATGTACCGTGCAATTTTCCCCTGAGTGGATTTCAAGACAACATATTGGCATACAATGTCAAAAAATATATATTATTAAAGGTTTTTAAGTCTCACATTCATCAGGAAACTATTTGTGATGCTCATTTTGATGAGGATGTCAGCCACTGAATACTGTGCAACATGACTTCTTTCAGGGTGTTTTCATGCCTGATAGTCTGGTAGACTCCATTACGGAACTTGGAACATTTGTTACATTTTCAGCTACTGCTGCTCTCTGAGTCAAACCAAACCAAACCCTTTGGAAAACCTGCTTACCCCTTCTCGCCTGTGGGGACACTGCACCAAAAATTGCTGAAGGAAACAACATAGGATCCTCTGAAAAAGAAATGCAACTTCCTTCTTCATGAAACGCAAACAAAAGGTGTGTGGTGTCAGATTTTAGCAGTCGTGGGATTTCCTTTTTATCTTTGGAAAAAAAGAGCTGTTTTTCCCTCTCACTTTAGACTTACCTACACATTTGTTTTGATTGTATTTACCCAGAATGCCCAGGGCAATAATACGCATCTTGTTTTGGTTGCGATCTCCGCTCCACTTTGCATTCACATAAGTATTCAGACCACACCAATGTTCACTTCAACCGAATTCAGAATGAGGTTTGTGGATGGACCAGAGTTCACTTTTTTGGTCAGCATCAGAATTTGATTGAGCGTTTGATTGAGATCAGAGTTGATGGGAAGATGAGTGGAGCTAAAGACAGAGTATTACTGGATGAAAACCAGCATGGCAGCAAAAGACTAAAGGCAGCAGGATAACAACCCTGTTGCCTGAAGCATCAGGGTTGTCATCCTTTAGAATGTTTTTGTGTGTCAGAGTGGCCCAGTAAAAGGCCACACATAAATCCAATTTATGATCTGAGACTCACAGATTGTTTTTCCATCCAATCTGAACGAGGTGATATTTTTTGGCAACATTGCAGTATGTCACTCTCTGGATGGTGCAAAGCCAGTTGATAAACACTCTAAAACATCTGCCGCAATAACAGCAGGTGGTTATATAAAGTATTTTCAAATGGGGATTAAATATAAATGCATGTCATGCTTTTCAGTTTTTACGGATAAATAATGTTGAAAACCATGTATCGTTTTTATTTCCACTTCACAATCACGCAGAAAACACAACTAAGGTTATCATATAGCAAAAAATGAAGTGATTACTTTAGCATCACTCCATTATTTTTACTGTATGGTTTTAATGCAGCCAAACAGCCAGAACTGTAGGAAAACCAAGGAGCAGAACAGTCCTTCACCGTTAGCAGAGGACATGCAGAAAGAGGACTAAAACAGATGTGTAATTATTTCCCACATGGCTTTGTATGGACACACTACCTTCCCACACATGTGCTGCATCTAACCTTACACTGAACAGTGAAAACAGAGCTAACCTGGAACCAACAAAGGCCGCTCTTTATAATGCTAAGTATGGATAAACAATCTAATAACTGTCAGAATGCATGGCAGCCAGGAAAAACAATGCTATCAGCAGAGACGTGCTCAGGAGAGCTTCACTTTCCCACAGACCAGCAGTCTGGATTCATGTTCCGCAACAATTGAAAGCTGTTAAAACACATGAAGCTGATTGAGGACAAAGTGTAGCATTGTTCAAAATAATAAGTGCTGCGAGGAAAAAAATAATCTCCCTCAAAACAAATGGGTCTAAATCAAAATCTTAGTAATTAGCCCACAACATGCCCGCTAACCACCGCGGGTTTAACAAAGCAAGCCAGAGAATCTTAACCAATTTCCAATAAGGAAAACATTAGCCCAACATGTTAGCCTGCTAGCCCCAGAGGATGATGGTGAGTAGAAACCTGATGGAGAGAAGGCAGGATTTACTGTAGGCTCACCTGCTAGCTGGTGAAAGCTAAATTTCCTACTTCAGCAGTGTAGTATCTATTATATGTCACCTGTACAGTTACAGTCAAAAATTGACAAACTTTTGATTTTGATTACATGGCCCATCGTAACATAAAAAAACAGGGGAGTTCATTTTTCAAAGTCATATTTTCACAATTTTTAAATGTCACAGCTTCAATCTAAATATTTAATTTGAGCAGACTACCCATTTATCTTCATACTAAATGTTTAGTTAGAAGGCTAAATATTTCTAGCCTCAAACTGAATATTTAGTTTGCCTAACATTGGAGGGTTCCCGGTTCAATCCCCACTCTGTCTGCCTCTGTCATTGTGTCTTTGGACAAGACACCCACCAGCCTTGCCTGCTGGCAGCCTGTGGCTACTATCCAGTAGCTCATCATCATCAGTGTGTGAATGGCTGAATGACTGACTGTAGTGTGAATGTGAAGTACTTTGGAGTCCTCTGGACTTGATAAAGCACTATAAAAGTACAGGCCATTTATCATTTACCACAGTTCAGAGTCAAATATTTAGCTAATATGTAAACTAACTTGCCAACAACCAGAAATGTTAAATAACTGTTAAACATATTTTCTTTGTTTTAATGGTTGTTGTGTTGATTACAGGGTGATTTCTGTTATCAAAAGGAAGCAATGAAAAAAAAAGACTTGTTAAAGTGTTTGTTTGTCATCTCACGTATATACAGCCAGTATTACAAACTTGACGATGGCTACAAAAAGTAACAGTTATCCAAATGCTAATGGTGGTGTTTATGCAATATTGACCTTGGATAAAAGAAAATCCACAATAAATTCAACACCGGGAACCAGGTCTTTTTTTGTCTCATTAAATCCATGATGAAAATGAACGTCTTATAGCATCAAAAAAAAAAGCCCAAAGAGAGTATTAAATCCATGGCCAGAACGAGTGAATGGAATCTTATTGACCGCAACTGTGCAAAAAGATTTTAGGTGATGAACTGAGTCCTCTGGAGATTTACAGCAGCTGTGGAAAGCGAGCAACAAGAGTGGACAAGCCAATCAGCTTTTGGCTGTGGCCTCAAATCTAAAACCTTTGATAGCAGTCAGGTTGTTCTGATGGTTCTGTTAGTCTGGTTCTAGCTCGCGGTAGGCTTGTCTGGTTATTACAGCCTTGAATCTTAAGTTGTTCAGCTTTAGGTTAGCCAGTGAATACTGAAGTAAAGCCAACCAAACTGGTTCAGTGCCAAAGTAGTTTGAGTGTCTGTTTGGCATTAGATTTTTGTCTCCACCAGCTCTGGTACCGTAAGATTGGCACAACCTCAGCTCAGACTGAGGTTGTGCCTCAGTCTGAGGAAAGAACAGGATCCATAATGATCTGAGGTCTGGATCATTAGCTGTGTTTCTGTAACAAATGTGCACAAAACTTTGTCTATACTCCACTCATATAGAAAAAACACAATTTTGCAATTGTGGTGTTTCCAATAAATAGGAAACACAATTAAAATCCCGATATGTCACTAAAATATACAACACGCCATGACCCTCCAGTTACTTCAATGTCATCTTCTTGTTGGTTTGTGCTAACAGAAACATCTGGTTGTTGATTATGCAGCTGATGAAGTGTTTCCACTGGAGTTTTGCAAAATAAACTCATTTCAGTACAGTAAAAAAAAAACACTTCAGCCTAGTGCCAAAACTTTTTATTGAAAAACGAGATTTTTTTTTTAAATTGGCATGTTTCCATAAAGCAAATGTATTTTTAAATGTCAAACTGAGCAATTATGTTGTCAATGAAAAAGCAGCTATAGAGACCAACAGCCAATTAAAATGTTACAGGAGCCAGTAAAGACCCAAGTTTAGGACCAGACATGTTTTAACACTGGAAACACTGGAGAAACTTTGGTCTGAAAAAGTGTCACAATCTGTTTAGATTACCCTAGTTTATTAGTAGCATTTTTGTGTGTGTCTCAGTGATGGACTGACAAAGCTGTGTGCTGACTCCAAATCGGACCTCTGTAGGCCTGAAGATAATAACTTCAGGTTGGTTTCTGTTCAGCTGGAGAAAGTTATGGGACATCCACAAATTGATTTGTTCTAAGCATCTGTTCAGTGCTTGGATTGGTTTGGAGTCAGTGAATCCTGTCTATTCTGAAAATACACCGATTTTTCTGTGGAATGTAATTCCAAATTATCTGATTTTTTTTTTTTTTTTTTTTTTTTTTTTTAGTAGAGCATATCTCAAGCATAAATGCATAAATGAAAGAAAATGCATCTTGTGAAACCAAAATGTCAATGCTACCAACTGGCTGGTGTTTGCAAAGCAGCCAATCCAGAACCACCTGGATTGGCTGCAATAAAGTGAATGTTAGCTCCAACCTGAAGCTGTTCCCACTGAGCTTATTAATGCACATTAAGGTATAATTTGTGTTTTAACTGGTAGTTATTAGTGTTTTTTGAGGGGGTCTCTTAATTTACTTATTATGGTCCCTAACCCCTGCAAATACTAGGGCAAGCACAGAAAAACCACTACATATGGTCTAGTCAAATTTCAGCTGGGGTATTCCTACACTCATGATACTGTTTTAAAAAAACAGTTTACAAAACCGTTATTTAAGAAAACAAAACAGGAAGTTATTTTTTTCAATTTTCCAAAGAAAATGTATAAAGCTCGTCTCATCTCGTGAACTAAATATTGTGCAACATTTTGTTACTTCAGCTGCAGTTATTTATCAATCAATCAATCAGATTTTATTTGTATAGCACATTTCAGCAGCAAGGCATTTCAAAGTGCTTTACATCATAACAAAGACAAAAACACAGTCATAGTGAGCTACAAACCAATTCTCATCTTGTAAATGGATTATTATTTTTTTATTTATTTTATATTTTTTTTGTTATGTGAAAGCAATCTGAAGCCATTGATTCAGATTGGGTTAATAGATTTCACACCTCATTCATCCCCTTCAGGGAACTTGAGCCAAACCAGGTGATGGACCTTTCTGTGTGTAGAACAAGAAGAAGACTTTTGATCTCTGACTGCATCTCTCTCAGCAGTTCCTGAGCTGTCAAAAAAAGCCAAATGAAAAAGCCCCACTGTCCTCTTGGAGCCCTGTTCGGGGTAAGAGTCGTGTTTTTCTTTGCTGTGGGTTAACCCCCTCCTCTCTGAATCACACACAGACTCGTGCGTCTGGTTCCAATCAGACTCGCGCAGGAATTCCATCTGAGTGTGCACGTGTGTGGAAAAGATCAAAGTGCAAATGAAGTATGTGTGTTTTAGTAGAAATAGTTTAAAAAAAATACGAAACAACCCAAAATTACATTTGGAATGTATTTTTACAATAATAACTTCCAGTATTCAGACGGGTTGGGGTCTTTGTGTCTGTGCTAGAACAGAAGACCGGATGTAAACGTAAACAAAAGATTTGAATTAGGAAGAAATTATGATTTCTAATTATCCTTCGTTGTTTGTTTTTTTTTATTTTTTTTATTCAGGTTGTACTAAAATACAGCCAGTTTTGGCGGAGTTGTGCTGTGACCTTACCTGGATGAGTTCCCGAAAAATTCCACGGAATATCCGAAATAACTCCCCCTCTTTCCCGTGAAAACGGAGCGTCCCTCCGTGTCCAGGTTAAAAGCGGCACAAAGCTGAAGCGCAGCCGCCACTACAGGTAGCAGCAGCGCGGCGCGGCAGCGGCGGTCTCCCCGCGGCCGGTACGAAGGTGAGAGTCCAGGAAGGGCGCCCATCTCAGCTGCTGAGAGACTCTTCTTTCATGGAAGAGGCGCGGCGCAACACGCATCATCCGTCCTGGTTCCTTATCCCGGCCAACTTTGTGCTCTTAACCCGAAATCAGAACCCTGAACAACCCAACTTCTCAGCTCCAACAGGTCCGGTGTGGTGCTGTTCCAGATTGGATGGGGACATGTAAACACGCAGAGAGAGAGAGAGAGAGAGAGAGAGAGAAGAAAGGAGGGAAAGGTTGTATCTTCGGGGGTGGAGCTGTAAGTGTTCCCAGAGGCTGCCTGGTCCCTAGTTTACACATTACAGTAGACAGGAGAGTTTGTTTCAACTTGTGTAAAAGAAATCATACAGCACATCCCATTATATTGCTTTTCAAAAGCATTCATAACTATTGTATACTATTAGTCAGGAAGCCTAGATTAATGCTTGGTAGATCCACCTTCAGCTGTGATTCCACCTCTGAGTCTTCTGGGTTATTATGCCTGGACCTTAACACATCTGCAGACTGAATTTGTTAACAAGTGATAGCAAAACAACTCTGGCTCACTGAGACTGGATGAGTGTTTATGTAATGTCGGTAACCATTAATTTTAAAAACTTTGACACAGATTCCAACTTGATTATCCTTTAATGTGCATCATTTTCTGTTCCTGCAGATGAAAATCACCAACACAGCATGACATTATCACCACCATGTTTCACCATAGGGATAGTGTGTTCAGAGCCACACAGCGTCTAGCATGTTGGCCAAAAATTCTGGCATTCACGGACATTTTGGACTAATACATTCTCAAAATTAGGCTCTTCTGATATGTTAACAGAAAAAGTGGAGACAGGAGACAAATTCAGCCATCTTGAGACAACAAGGTTCAGATATGTGGAGCCGTTCACCCATATGCAAGATATGGACAGAATAATTCAGTGTAACAATCAAATGATTGACTGATTAAATGTCTCAAAACTTCACCTTACAGTTTTAGGGGCATTCCTACTATTGTACCATAATATTCACTGTAACACTTAACATTTAAATATGATCATGCAATGTGCCACCTTTTCTGTCTTTACATTAGAGTGTCAGCTGCCAGTGACACTATCTTATGAATTCACTACGGAGAAACATTCCATGGCAATGCAAACATCTTATATAGGTTTTTGGTTGTAGGGTGAGTGATCCAGTGAGGCAGGGTGAGGAGAGCGGCCCGAATCCGACGGCCAACTGCTGGCTGGTTTGTGAATACTCCCACACGTTTGTTTATTTTGCCACGATTCCCCAGTACCTCTATGTCCAGCCTTGGGCTGAATAAAACCTCTTTGTTATATGTAACTTGGTCTGGTCTCCTTATGTTGTGTGTCCTGTATGGACCGTAACACCAAGGACACAACGACAGAGACGAACGGAGTGGTGGGTTCACTGAGAGTGAGAGCCGAGCAGCAATAGGATAAAAAGTGGGTGGGTTGTCTGCTCTTTTGATTCACTATAAAGAATCAGTTTTTTGAACCAATTCTTTTGAGCATGATCCATCACTAAAACAACTTATTAGTGTTCAAGATGCTGTTTGATTGATTCCAAAATAAATCAACAGTTTTGTGGAACTAGCTTAGTATTTTGAATATGATTGCACTGAAATGGATTATAATTGTACTGATGGAGCATCTCAGCAGATGCACTATGATACACTGACTGTTCTCTACTCTCTCTCATAAGGACAAACGATCACTCTAAAAGTTCTGATTGTAAGTGCTTCGAGTGTTCTCTGACATTAGTGTCACAATAAGGAGGGAACGCAGAGAGAACTGACCTCTGTCCAAGTCTTATTTTGTCTCTACCCGGAGTTCACTGAACTGTGAGCAAACCCTCAGCAGACAAATAACTGAGAAAGCTTGAAGTGTTCTGTGAGTTCACCTTCAGAAAAAATTATGTTTTTCCCCAACAAAGCTAGCATGTCAAGACAATTCAACGATTAAAGTGAGAAATCCCACGAACTGATCACATCTATTCTCGACTTCGTCTCTCAGCACTTTGCCAGAGCTAAGCTTCTCTCTGTAGCAGCAGACAGGCAGTT